CTAGAGGATAGTAATAGAATTTTCTTTAATGCTTCTATCACAAATTCATCCTCAATATTCAAAGTAAAAGAACATACTACAGATTTTCCTTTAATTCCACCACTTATAGTGGTTCCACCAAAAAATAATCGGACCTGAATTAAAAAAAAGTAAATTAAAAAAAAAGGTTCGTTATTTAATAAAAATGTAATTATTACCTGATTATGGTTTTTTTTCTCAATGCTTGAAGTAGAAAAAAGCCGTAATGACAAATTTTTTTCTTTTAGATTTTGTAAAAATTCTGGAACATGTTTAAAAAAAAATGCATATATGGCGTGATATCCTCTTTTCTGTACAAACTGGATATTTGTAATACTGAATTTATTTAACCTTGATTTGGACGACAAAATAAACAAATCCATTGTTTTGCCTTGATTTTAAAGTTATCAATTTCAGAATTTGTTAAAATTGGCTTTCTTAAGACAAGATATAACTCATAAAAATTACGCCAAAGTTTTTCAATATCTTCATCGCGTTTTCCTAAGATAAATTGAATAATAGGAAAAGATTGCAATACTTTTTTCTTATCAGGGCCTATTAATGAAGTCCAATCCCATTTACCATTATGTGATTTAGATTTAAAAAATTCAAAATGAACTTTAATAATTTTCATAGCTTGTTCAATTTGACTTTTAATTTGCTATTTAAATTCTTTCTTTTTGAATAAATCATTAAAAAAACATTCTAACAGTACATCAGAAATACGTAACAACAAGTGTAATTCATCTGAAATATAGTGTTTAATAGCAGGAAATAATACAGGTTTTTTTTTGCCTATTAGAAAGTTGTATAATTAATAAATGCTTATTTATAAATTATTTTAATTATTTTTAATAAAACTTACATTTAGTATTTTCATTAATTGGCCATTGTAAATCCATGTTCCAATGTTCATTAGCTTCACAATTACAGTAAAGACAAAAGTATTTTGCATTTGGAGCATTTAATCCCATTATATTATACATGAACTTCCAATCACCAGAGAAAAAAAACTCAATTGACCAATGCACACCATTGTCATCATAGATTCCATTTTCTTGAAGATCCCGAAGCTGATATTCAAATAAACGTCCAACTTTAGCTAATGTTTCATAATTTTCTTTACCTATATAAAGACAAATACTATTTTTTTATTATTTAATAATTTTTATAAAAAAACATGTTATCAAATTAAAATTACCAATATTGATGATTTGGTTTTAGTACTTCATCTTTTTCATTTAGCAGACAAATAGTTATCATTACATAATTTTGTTTACGGTCTACATTTCTACTGTCTCCACCAAGCTTTAGAATAATTGTATCATCCGATTGAAGAATTGATTTATTCCAAATAGGAATAAGCAATTTAAGTAAGGATCGAATTGATCGATATACACCATTACCAATTTCTTGTTCATCAATCACAATTCCATCAGAATTTTCTTGAAATTCATCATCATCAAGTATAGGTTGTTGAGTAAGTTCTTTGTCAAGATTAAATGTTCTGATATGTATTTGATTATTTATTAATTTGGTAATTTCAATTCGCCTTTGAGCAATTTGATATTCACGTATTAATCGTACTTCTATAGCAGTAAGTCTTCGATATCCATTACGACCTAATAAAGCTTTATCACAAGCACGTACATAAGCATCTAATTTTATATGATCTAATGATAAATTATATTTTATATTAATAATATGATCCTTATATTTCAACTCCATATTACGTAAATGAATTGGTTCTCCAGATTCCAAAACTATCCTATGTTATAAAATAAGCTGTTTAATTTTTTTGTGAGCGTCTCTTCCAAATGATGCATATCGTTTATTTTGTTGTGATACTGATACTACTTCACTAAGCAGCCTCTTTCTTTTATCAATAATTGAAGTTTTATCTATAAGTGATTCTCCAGTTCGTACTTGATGCAATATTTTAATATCAAATCCAAAAATGTGTATTTCAGAAATTTTTGATTTTTCACGATTAGTTTTCTATATTAATATGTAATGGTATATAACAATTAATAAAAATCTCATAAAAACGCATATTTATTTTTTTTAAAATATTAATTTGTGATTTAAATAAAAATTGGAGACTGATCATATAAGTATCATAGTAAAAATTGAGGGGATTTTATTATAGATTTTACATTCTTGAAATTTACCTTTCCTTCAAAATAAATATATATTTCTTAAACATAAATTACAATATAAAACAAGAATATATAATTGTGACTTTTTAAAAAAAGTGAAGATATTTTATATAAGATAAAAAAAAAACTACAAATTTGTTTTTTACTATGGATTTCA